ATTTTTAATTATTTTTACTTTATTTTAATATTTAATATTTTTTATATATTTTAAATTATACTTTACAATACATTTGTAAAATTTTTTTAATTAAACTTTAAAATTAAATTAACAATATAATTTAAATTGTATTTAATTATTTAATAAAGAAAAAAAAGAATTATTATTAGTTATTAAATACACAAATTATCATCCAAATTATATCGCGTTTATTATTTTAATTATTTAATTTTAGAAATATATTAGTAAATATTTCATTTGATAATCAAAAATAATCAAAATCAAAAATAAAATTTTAAAATATTATTGTTTCGCGAATATTTGATTCTGATTCGGGATCAAATATATTGCTCGAGATATATCAAAGGAAATTCCTCAGTGATAAAAATAAGTGTTTTTTAATTCATAAATAAGGTAAGTTTTTGCAATTCTAAATAATTATTAAATGTTCAAAAATAAAAAAAAATATATATGATTAGTATAAAATAAATACATTAAATTTTAAAAAATTTTACATATCATTTCTTCTCATTTTTCTAATACGAAATTTGATCGAAAATTTTTGTGGATATTACAAAAATATAATTTCTCAAAAAATTTTATCAAAAATGCAGGAAAAAATTCACATTTTTTCCAACTACATTTTTCTATTATAAAAATTTTAATTTGGACAAAAAATTTTGCCAAAATATCAGAATTTTTATATTAGGAAGATATAATAATATGAGAAAAAGTAGCAAAATTTCTTGTAAAATTTCTAGATTTGAAGTTTTCAAGTATTCAAATCATTGTGATTTTGTATCAAAAGAATATAATCTATGAAAATCAAAAATAATTTATATTATAATATTCTTAATGCTAAATTTGAAATCTACATACGTAAATTGACCATAATTATATTCTTATATCAAAAACAATTGGCTATCGCTACATTTAATTATAATTCCTTTTGTCTTAATATCGCTGTTATCTAATTTTATTTTGAATTAATATCGCATGTGACAAGAATAGTAATGGAGATTACATAGTTTTCAGACTATGTGACACAAAAATGCATTGAGTGACGTCTATTCTACGTTTTATATCTAGTCTGTACTCTATCATTTAAAATAAATAAGTATTCTTAAATTAATAAAATTGACAATTTATTTCATCATGTTTGCATATTGAAGACATCTATTGTTGATTATGAATATTATCAATGCCAAGTCTAACTTAATTGATATTTTAAATAACAATTATTTCGTTACTTGCGATTCATTATATGATTATTTTAAAAGTGAATATGTAACACAATATGAAATTTTTTATTTTGGTATAAATATATTTAAATAAAATTTCAAATTAAATTTTTAAAATATAAACATAACCTCAACAATAGTAATGCTTGTTTTACGTAATTTTCAAAATACAAATTTACTTGTATTGCTTGGTGGTCTTTTATTGTGCCTTATTTTTATGATACAAGTGAAACAAATTTATAATAACAATCAAAAATATAATAGATATTTAGGATATAAAGAATATGTAAGATTTCATAAAAAAATATATATGTATATCCATTGAATTTATTTTTAAATATTTATTGATTTGTTTAAACTTTAGATGAATGAAATATCAACAGAATTAAAAGCAATAGAGAAATCCGCAAACAAGTCGTCAAGCTATATTCGTCAATTAAATGAAATACTTTTAAAACATCGTGATAAGGATATAAAAAATGTGACTATATCATATCCTCTTTTTTGATTATAAATCATTATATAGGTATATATTTAAAATTATATAATATAAAATTATTAAATTTAATAAGTAAATTCTTAAATTAATACTCATAAAAATTTAATTTATAAATTAACAAATGAAAATCTTATATTTCAATTAAGATATGAAACATACATATAATTGTCATTTGTAGTTAAAAAAATACTAATAAGCAAAAATTGCATAATATTGAAAATAATGTACAAGATTTTATAAAAATTTTTTAATATCTATCTTTAATATAAAAATACTGAAAAAAATTTATAATATTCTGTTGTTATATAACAATTTATAACATATATATTTCCAGTCAAACATTATATTTATTGATTTTTTTAACAATTTATTTAAGTACCCATATACCATTTCTATATATTTTTAATTAAATAAAAAAAATATAATTGAATAAATAAATTTATTTTTTATTCAATTTATTGCTTATATGATATTAATATTGAGTATTTATGAGTATTATTTGAAAATATTTTTTATATTATAAAAATTAAATAATCTAAATTAATTAAGTAAATTTTGAAGAGGCATACATTGTGGTTCTTCAGTTTTAATATCATTGAGAATTCCTGTAGGTGTGCAAAGCCAAGGATCATTGGTTATTTTCTGCCATTTTAATAATCTTTCTTGTAAATCACTGAATATATTCTGAAAAATAATTTAATAATTTAAAGTTGATTTATTACAATTAGAATATAAAGAATATTTTGATTTTAATTACTTTTGCTGATGATTTAGAAGCAATATTATTTTTTTCTTCTGGATCATATTTTAGATCATATAATTCCCATTCTGGTCTTTCATAATAATTTTCTAATGTTTTATACCATGGAAGCGGTTGTTTATTTCTAGTTCTATTCAAAAGATCCTTTAAATAAAAAAAATGATATTCATTTATAATTTATAATATGATTTATAATGTGATTTCTTTCATAAATTTGTTTCATATTATTTATTAATATGATTATATTTATATTTATAACTATATTATATATTTTTTGTAGATCACCTGGAATGTTGGTGAAACATAAAAGTCTTGATCAATTGGAAATGGCATTTTATAATTAATATTATGTATAAGTTTATATCTTTTGGTTCTAATTGCTCGCATGGGATAATACATAGTAATTTCATGATGAGTTTGACTGGCAAAAATAGCTGTATTATTTTCTGTAGGTTCTGCAAATGCATAAAAATATAATATTAGAATATTGAATGCTAAGATAATTTAAATATACCTTGAATAAGAAGAGGAAGAAGAGATTTTCCAGTTAAAAAAGGAACAGATGTTTCATTTGTATCAAATGGAGATAGATCCATATATGGTATGTTAAACCAATCTAACAATGTTGGTACAATATCCAATAAAGATGTTAAACTGTATGTTATACTATTTCTTCTGTGATTAGGAATTGGAGACCTAATCATCATAGGTTCTGCTAATCCTAACATAGTAAATATAATTATTTTTTTATACCTTAATATTTTTAATCTTAATTTAAAAAAAGATTATTTAATCATTATATAATATTTTTTATACTATTATTTACCTGGTTCATATAAATTTGTTCGACCATTTGGAAATGGTATACCATTATCAGATGTATAGATCACTAATGTGTTGTCTTTAAAACCAGCATCTTCCAGTTCTTTTAAAATTAATCCTACACCTATAAAAGTTTTAATTTCTTGTCTATTTCTAATTCATCTATTATTAGTTTTATTATATTAATATATTTTTAATATAATATAATATTACATATTTTATATTTATTGTATTAATAACATTTAATATTTAATTTTTTAAAAGAATAAAACAAAATTTTAAATAAATATTTGTAATAAAAAA